CTGAACTTCCACTCGAAATCAAAAATTTTAATTGAGTTGAGCTAAGCCTTAATTTTAGAAAAACTTTAAATTGTGCATTATAATCATTTAGGTTAAAAAGGGATCACTGATGGGAGCCCTTGGCATAAATATGGGATAACTTTGGTGTTAAAGTTACATCAATACAATTTGCAATATGCTAGCATATTTCTTAAAAGGTTGGAATGCTTATTGGCGTGCTTATACGAGTCCAGTGTGCTTTTTGTTGCCATACTGATATAACAAAGAAGCCAAGAGCACAATTTTGAGCTTTTTAATTCAAAGTTGATCAAAGGGGCATCAATGCGTGTTGAAGTAAACCACCAAAGCAAGGCTGTAAGCCTACTCCCAAGCTTCTTTATTCAAAGTTCGTAACTTCTCTCACCCTTAAAGTTGCAAGTCCCTCTCATAGACCTTCCACTTGATGTTAAGTCTCGGAAACCGGTTCTTACCACTCAAATTTTCAGCAGTACTGTAGCATATAGTACCGCGAGAATAGCTATAGCGGGAGAAGCGTTGAAATAACCCTATTTTCCTTTCTTATGCTTTCATTTCTTTTGAATCATTTCCTATATGTGTATTGTATTAGGGTTTAGAAATCAGTTTTTTTTTTTTGGGTTTTGTATCGGGATAACCGTCGACATCTCCTCTTCCCTTTAAGATATGTATCTTAGGGTTCCAAGTAGTGCTTCGATTGTATCTTGATTTCCAGGTGGTGATTATATTCCCTATCCCATCCCACATCCCTCTCGCTTCGTTGCCACGCCTTCCTCCTTGATGCAGCCGCCCCGACCGCAGTATCGTTGTTATCTTGCTGCAGTACCTCATTCTCCAGCTATTTTCTCGGTAGCACAGCCCTTGGATAGTCCTCATTGGGCTGTCCCACGCCTTCACCGCCGCTGCCGCCGTCATTGCCGCCCGCAATATCCGCCGCATTTGCCGACCGGAAACAGCCATCCGAGCTATTTTATGTTGTTCCAACCACCCACCCAGCCGTTTCCATCATTCTAGCTTGCTGTCATTGCCACAACGCTTTCCCCTTGTTGTTTTCCTGATGTCTAGCCACCCCAAACAGCCAACTGTTGTCGTTTGGGCTGCTGCCCCTTGCTACATTGCTGTTCCGACCCACCATAATCGCTGCCGCTCCTCACCAACAACCCGGAAAACCCTTCCCTACCTTGCCACTATCCAACCAAGCCATTTAACCATCACCACCTTCACCCGGGCTGCTGCCCCTTGCTGCACTGCTGTTCCAGCAACCAATAATTGCTGCCGCTCCTCACCAACAACCCGGAAACCCATTCCCTACCATTGCCACAATCCCACCAAGTCCGCTAACCATCACCACCTTCACCCGGGATCCGCCCTAACATTAGTTTGTGTTTCATGTGTTGTATTTTCTCTTTCAAGTGTGTTTGATTGTAACTTTCTATTTGTTTCCAAAGAAGTACTATTAGTTTTTCCTATTGTGGGGTTTGGATCAACTCCGGTATCAGTCTCAACCTATTTGTTTAAGCCAATTTACACGCTACAAGGCCATTAAACAAACCAAATTAAATGGGCCAACATAAACTCAGTAACCAATCAAGTCAAACATAATTCACGGAACTCTCTGTATTTAGAGTTTTTCAGTCCACTTTTGGGCATTCCTCGTCCTAAAGGTTATCAACCCCGACATTTAGGGGCATGCTTAAGAATCTATACCTCAACCAACCAACTTATAAGGCCATAAATCAAATCACGCTTGATTCACAAGCTTTTCCAAGAAAAATCTGTCTAAGATCATCATAATGACAAATAATTACTTCATTCAACTATTGCACTAGCAAACATATCAGATGTTTTCTTTTTTATTTTATTTTTTTACAATTATTTTTATTTGTCAGTGCTTGTACTCATAGGAAATTAGTAGGAAATAAAGTGAAGGATCTCAAGAACCGAGTTCAAGCACACAATCTGCCCAAATAAATAAATAAAAATAAAACTAACATATAAATACCGATTTGGAGTTAGCTCAAATGTTACCAAGCCTTGTATCCTAGACATGCTTCTACAAGACAAAAATTGACGACAATGGATGTTCATGCCATGCATCTGAGACCGTCAATCATGTCTAGTACCTCTGAACCACAAGTGATCATATTGCACACCTTTGAACCATTCAATCAAGCTATTATAACCCTTCAATGAACGACATGGTGTCAATCTCAAAAGCATATCTTCAATACATACTTGCACCAACTTTAATCAAAATCTAAAAGGAGGCAACCCACGAATGTTTAATCAAACTTCCTAAATATTACAGCTTAGATTCTCATAATATTGGTTGATAGGGTCTAACACTCGCATTGTCGGGTCCCAAATACCGAATCTGAAAAGTAAAGAGTTGTGCTAGGTAGTCAACAGCCACCGTAAAATTTATCGAAAAATCATGATATAAATCATTTTGATCATTGTATAAATGCTACAGAGTCCCCAGAAGCGACGTACTGAATAATTGTCACAAAATTATATGGCGTGTTGTAAAATAAAGATTACCAGAAATCAGTCATAAAACTAGATGGGGAACCTAAAAGACAAAAAAAAATTATTTTTACGAGTAAACTTCGAGATTTCAATATTTATGATGTTCATGAAGAAGCAAATTCTAGGTGAGATAAAGTAACAAACACTTTAAACAAGTAACAAAAGATGTACTTGGAGAATCAAAAGGAAAAATTTTTATAAATAAAAATAGTTGGTTGTGAAATAATAATGTGTAAGAAATGATAAAATATAAGAAGTTATGTTATAAAAATTGGTTTTAATGTAAAAGCGAAGAAAATTGTGAAAAATATAACATAGACTGTAAGGAGTCTAAGAGAACAATATGTGACGCTAAAACTTTTGTTTTTAGTGATCTTTATCTTCTGTTTTTAGTGATTTTTATAATAGATTAGATACTAAAGAAGTGAAAATATATATGTGAGTGAAAATCACAAAATAATATTCAACATAGGTGGGTGAGTTATATTGATAAAATTTTCAATAAGTTTCTGAAGATACAATAGACCTTAGTGATCTTAAATTTGTTAATAATAATAATATGTTTCATTTTTACGGTCACATTAGTAAAAAAGAAGTTGTTGAGGCTTTAAAGAAAATCAAGGGTGTAAAGTCTGTAGGACCTGATGAAATCCCAATTGAAGAGTGAAAATATTTAGAAGATTTGGGAGTTACTTAGTTTATTAAACTCTTTAATATTATTTTAAAAATAAAAAGAAGCCTGAGTGAAGAAAGAGTATTTTGGTTCCTATTTTTAAGAATAAAGGGGATGCACAAGTGTGCAAATTATAGAGGAATTAAGTTGATGTGTCATACTTTAAAATTATGGGAGAGGATAATTGAACATAGGTTAATACGTATTGCACAGATTTCTCGTATTAATGTTGGATTTATGTTGGGCAGGTCGACTATAGAAGCTATACATTTATTGATAGGTTTGATGGAGAAGTAAAAAGAGAATAAAGAGGATCTACATATGCTTTTATTTATTTAGAAAAAGCCTACGATAAGGTTCTAATTGATATCCTTTTGGAGAATTCTAGAGAAGAAAGGTGTTGATATGACTCATATTCTAGTCATTAAAGATATGTATACTAGAGTTGTTGCTTGTGTTCGAACAGAAGGATTGACCAATTATTTTCCTATATCAGTTGGATTACATCATGGATCCGCTTTAAGCCCATATCTTCTTGCTTTAGTTATGGTTGCTCTTACTGGACATTTACAGGAGGATGCAGCTTGGTGTATGCTTATCGATGATGATATCCTTCTTGTGGATAAGACAAGTAAAAGAGCTCAAGAAAAAATTGAATTATGGATGTCAACATTAGAGTCTAAAAACCTTTGTTTTAGTAGAACTAAAACAAAATACATAGAATGTAATTTTAGTAGTAGCTCTACTGACAGAATTGTAACTATGGATGATAAAATCATTAAAAGGTGTGATTGCTTTAGATATCTCGAGTCTATTGTTCAAAGTGGTGATATAGATGGGAATGTTATTAGAAGAATTCAAGTTGGTTGGTTGAAGTGGAGGAACGCTTCGGGCCTATATTGTGATAAAAAAATATAGCTTAGACTCAAAGGAAAATCTTATAAGATGGTGGTGAGACTTGTAATGCTCTATAGCGCAAAATGTTGGCCTTTAAAAGAGAAGCATAAATAAGTTGAGTGTTGCGAAGATAAGAATGCTTAGGTGGATAAGTGGTTTTACACTTAGAGACAAAATGTGAAATGAATATATCTTTGATAAGGTTGGTGTAGCTCCAGTGGGGGACAAAAGTAGAAAAAGTCGTTTTAGATGATTTGGTCACATTAATTCTTGACCATATGATGATCCGGTTAGGAGAGTGGATGTATTAGATTTGACTTACATTAAGCAAGGCAGAGGTAGACCTAGAAAGACTTGGGCATATTGTATAAAAAATGATCTTAATTTTCTACAATTAAATGAAAATATGACACTCAATAAGGCGCAATGGAGAAAAGGATTCATGTAGCCCACCCCACTTAGTAGAGAAAGACTTGTTGTTGTTGTTGTTGTATTGGTTGATTGGGTCTATAGGTAGACCCGCAATGATAAAACTATAGGATCTTTATTGAGTTTACCTCCGTCTCACCTATCAACCCCCATCAATTAAATCCTAGTTTTGAGCCCAAGCATCAAAGGTTATTTATGGTGCATTTAGATATGTTAACAAGAATTTAAACAAAAAAACAGCAGATAAACTTGGCACTCAATAAGTAGATTTCTCGTGTAGAATTAGTTTTCTATTACTCTTCTAGCACAGGCATATTATTGAGCTATAATTCAATAAATCTTGCAAGCGTATAAGATTACTACTTACACCACCAGTAAATTAGTAGTTAAAGAGTTCAAAATAAACATCATGAGACATGGATATTGAATGAATAAAAGATCATCAAAGAAGGATTACCCAACAAGCCAATGGAAGATGGATCCATCAAAACTTCCACTAACAAAATATTCTTCATGAAATGGATGCCAAGCCAAAGCTAGCACAATAAGGTAGAAACAAACATAATAATGTTAGTAGTCAACTTAAAATTTGATGTACATGATCGACTGCTAGTTATCTGCAAAAACATGATTGTTACACACCACAAAATAGCAATGATTCACAACAAACAGTTGCAAGCTAAATATTTACATGAACATATCTCTCGCATCAAGCATATAAATTCACATATTGTAAAACCAAAAGCAAAGAACTTCATAAAACAAGTAAAAGAAAAAGCAAGCTGATGCTCTATAATTCAGAAAATGTGTGGTTTCCCTTATATTTTTCTTTGTCATCTTTATCTGAATTCAGGCCTTTTCATAATTTTCAAATCATCTCCAATTTGTCCCCAAAAATAAAGCATGAAGCAAAAAATTGTTCAGAAAAATGTTATGATTTTGGTTCAAAAAAGAGATATTAAAGCAAACAACCAAAATATTCAATAAGGCTCCGCAGCCATAAGTTAAAAACATTATGTTATCAGAAACTTTGTTTTTTATATTTCAAGATAAATTGCTATAAAAAATTCAAGTCTTAACCAAGGACTGATGGGAATCGGAAAGAAAAATCAAATCCAATCCATTCACCACTAACTTTCTTAGTGGAAAAACAGCAGCGTCTCATTTTTATGCATGTCAAGTATAAAAAAACAATCAAGTTGAAGCATCACATATTCCATTTGTTTATTTCCACAAAGTTAGATTTAACATTCCATAAAGCATGAAATTGCTTTTGTTCTGCAAGGTTATTCATCATATGTATTTTAAGAATAATTAAAAAAACTTTCAATATACCTTTCTTAATGCACGCAAAATGAATTATTATGGCACTTAATTGCATGTGTTCTCGAGATAAAAAAAAAAATCATAAGATTTTAGTTAACCCTCACACGTACGCCACCAAAGGGCAGTAAACGATAAATGCGACAAAACACAATCAAGCATAAGATACCTTCAACTATACAGAACTACAATAATACATATTCACAAAATGGATTTTTGCCATCATAAGCGACGCACAAGAATCAAGACTACTATGCCTCGAGCATCACTGAGATTACTCAAATGACATCAATATGCAAAACAAATCGCACGTGCACGTCCAAATGATCAAAATTGATCTAAACGAGTGAACATGATGAAAACACTAGATCTTCAATACGACAAGCATGATTTAGATCCAAATCATCTCAATTTTCATCAAAGCCACTAAAATGATTGTTGATAGTAAAACAGACAACACGAGTGTGTATGGGACGTTAATTTTGCCTAAAAGCGACACCCATATTGTTAGATTTTCATGCATGAACCCCGACACGGAGTTCAAGAGCATGATACAATTCAAAATGGATAAAAACAAGGGGAAAATGCATGAATTTTAATGGCATACATACATACATACATATCAAGATATACATACATATCAAGATATACATACATATCTACACGCACACATGTGCATATTCAAAAGGGTGGTATTTAAGATGACCACTCCCCATATATGATATCAGTCCCTGTAGAGATCGAACCCGAGCTAAAGGTACGACAGATAACGCAACTACCTACCAGCTTTCCACCCAAAGGTGCACAACATTTATATATATATATATATATATATATTATTGTGTGCCCTTGGGTGCAAATTATTAAAAGCTTTTTACCCCAAACGGCTACCTTCCCCTCTACTCTTCACCTATGCCTTTCCCTCCTCCGCTCCACCGCCAATCCCATTTTCTTCACGTGTTGTCACCTCGCCATCCAATCAAAAGAAGCCAATTCAAAAAAATAAATAAATAAAAAGAAAAAGATTAATAATTTCTCTATACATAACTTCTCCTCCAGCCCACTCGTTAGCCTCCAATCCTTTCAACCGAGGTCAACACCCGACTTCCTTCTCCGAGTGCCTTCCTCACAAAAAGATCACAGCTCCTTTACCCAACATACTCTCTCGGTCACCCAACTCTCCCCCTTTCTCCCAACTACCGTCAAGTATCCCTCCTTCCCTCTCATTCTCCGATTTACACCCAACCTTCCTGCTCCCTTTTCTTCCTCCCACTACCAAACATTCTCCCTACTGCTCTAATTCCATGTGTGAATGTTTAAACCCCTCACTTAGGTTCGGATCCATATGCGAATGTTTGAAGAAATTGAGACGCCAGTGTTTGAAGACCCATATGTGCATTGCATTGGGTAGTGGGATGCACCGCTTAAGGTCATGGCGCAAACCACCAAACATGCCTTTCTTGGCATGGTGGACAAACTCGTTTCGATTCTCTACCTCCCCATCAAGGAGGAGACGTTAAAATGTTGTCGTAATACTATCGAAATGGTGCCTGACTTTTGACTAAACTAAAAGACTTGACAAAACTTTCACTAAAACATAAATTGCAAAATCAAGAATTCAAATGAATATTAATAGTATTTTGCAAAAATTTAAAAAAAACACTCAATTGAATTCACTAGAAAAGGTGATTTCATAACAAACTTATTGAAGAATTGAAGCAGACACAAAAAGCTTGCACACAAAGAGCAAAGAGCAAAATATCCTTGGTTATCCCAAAGCACTCAATCCCCAAGCTTCCAAGCAAATATGAGGAGATATGAGCATTCCACCTCTCTTATTTATAAGGGTATGAGTAGAGCTTTGCGGACCCCATGACATGCAATGTAATTCCTATTAAGACAAATATCAACATCATTCAACACTCACAATATGCATATTTGTTCAACTCACCATCGGATCCACAACTCAAAATACAAGAGCAGACAGAAAGTGAAAATGAAAGTAAAAAATATTTGATAAATCTCAATAATAACACATGTGTGCAAATAACAATAAAACTATCTAAAAGTCATTTCAAACCAATAAATTTAGGGTATGCTCCGACCACCATGCTAAATGTTCGATTAGAATGTCAAAGAATGCTTGTGTGCCAAACTATTTAAAAATCAATTCAACCCAATAAGCTTGCATACCCGCATGTGCTCCGACGTAAACCCTAAATTGTTAAAATTAATCATCTGAGAATGTTACGCCGGTCAAACCCTTAAGCTCAAATCTAATTTGTTTCAGAATACATGTAGAATTAATTAAAATCAACGCAAAATAACAATTTAAAATTCTCATATATTTGTTGAAATTCAAAATAATAGGGAATATTTTAATCGATATGAAAAGCGGGTATAAATAACCCTTAGATGAATCCTAAAATAGTAAAAATAAACAAGAAATAACATAAAAATGAAAGATATAACTCTTAATATCTCCAATTAATCAATTCAATAATTAATTTGGAGATAAGGGAAACAAAATAAAATAGAAAAACTAAAAATAAGAAAGGAAATAAATCCAATTCAATAAAATAATTTACTTCTCATAACTTCTCACATAAATAAATTATTTTCTAATACTTGGATTAGAAAAAAATCAAACAATAGGCGAGAAAAATTATGAGAGGTAGAACTTGAAGTATTAATCATATACTGCAGTTGTCATTGGTTGCAGCTCCTGCAGTGTCTACAGCTAGACGGAAGACTCCTACAAGTAATGTTGTAGAGGAGTTTGCAGAGAACTAGACAACTGCGGTTGTCTTTGACTGCAGTTTCTGCAGTGTCTGTAGGTAAGCGAAAAACTCATACAGATAATGCTGCAGAGGAGTTTGCAGGCAAGTAGACAACCTGTAGAAAAATAATATGCAGGATAAAGCTTTAAAAAAAAAAGATAAAAGTTTTGGAGGAGGGTCTATTGAAGGAAAAGGCATTGCAGTGAGAAGGGCCTGTAGCAAAATACTATCCTTTGCAGGGCAAGTTGCTAACAAATAAGATTTCTGGCGACAAAGAAAAGGGGCTACAACCTGCATGGAGAGAACTGGTTGTCCTCGATGTTGCTTGATAGGAGAGTTCCAACGAAGAAGACTGCAAGGAGAGTTCTGGTGGCAAAGAAAACGCAAAGAAGGACCTGCAAGGAGATTTACAACAGCAGAGAAGAAACCGATAGAGAAGGTCGTGTAAGTCGCTGTTGGGATTCCATTGAAAGATACATCTAGTCTCGCCTCTATAATAGTTTTTTTCAAGTTGCTTTGCTAGCAAGCTAGCGATGAACTCCTCTGTAACGAGTTTCAGACTTAGGGGCTCGAGAGTACCATTATGGAAACCTACAGCTATGTGTAGCTCCAACTCCAAATGTCCCAAAATAGAATCCATATTTTTTCTATCAAGATGCGTTGTGGAATGACAACACATAAATGATTGACCTCCCAGAGTATTGCAATATCTCTGCTACCATCAATGTGACAGACTTGACTCCACGCTACAAGGAAACAGAAGCTTCGATGAATAAAGTCGAAGCTCCCCCAAAATCGAGAAATTGACGCGGGAGCATGGGTCATGGTGTTGTAGCAGCTACATTACCACGGTACCTTTTTCCTACTAGATCCCTTGTCTTATTTGAATTTCCTTCCTATTCTAACCACTAGTACTTATGGTAAATATATTGTTATGTTGTCTTAGGGTTTAGTTTTTTCTTCCATGCTTCAAGGTCAGCAGCTAGGGTTGTTTTCCCTTCTAGGAATGTATCTGACGACAAGCGGTGCTCTGTTCTGGATCTATCATGTACGAGGCGGTGACCTTCTCCAAAGGTTTGAGTTGTACTTTGGTTGTAGCTCAATCCCACAGGGATATTTATACAAGTCAACTCCTCTGAAACCCCTTTCCAGCCATCTCCTTCGTTGCCACATCTCCTAGACAGCCTTGCCTTCGCAAAGACTCTCACCATATTCGTTGCAACCACTCGGCAAACACTCTCGTTGTTTTCCTGCAACCGCCTACCAAGTAGCCCCCTTCCACCATGTTGTCATTCCTCGTCGTAGCCTTCTAGCAGCCAACCAACCCATTTACTGCCACCTTTATGCTATCCAAGATCAAGAAATCCCTTCCCCCACATCCTAGCTGCAATTCTAGCCTTGTCAAACCAACTCCCTGTCACCTAATCGTTGTCTCAGCCCATACAACTCACACTGCAAGTCATAGCCGCAACCTTGTCCCTGCAGCTGACCAACCCTCCCCTTACCTTCTCGATCGCACCGACAACCAACTCATAACCTCTTTCACCGATCACCACTCATGGGACCCATTTTAATTGACTTTTTTAATTTTGTGAGTTTGTTGTTATATTTCCTTTTCGTTGTGATTTTGTAACCGTTTATTTGCTGCAAATAAAAATATTTGTTTTTCCATTGTGGTTTGGGTTGACTCTGGTAGCAATGTCATTAGTATTTACATAAGTTATTGGCTTGACTATTGACTTAACATCACCTATTAACCTTTTGTTCATCCAAAGTTGGGGCCAACATCAAACATAGCATAAGGCAATGTCACCTGATTTGAAAATAGATCCAGAATTTACAAAATCAAATATTACTCTTATATATGTGGCAAGCATACCCTTATATTTCTAGTATTTTCATCATCTATCTTGCAGCTTTTAAAGCAACTATATTTTAACAAATATCCAAGTAATATTCTACATTAGTTATGATAACGTATGCATTTAATTTTAAATTATATAGTACATTTAATTCAATTTACAACAATTTTGTTGATATAGAAGTTTCATCAATTCCACCAACATTATTTTAATTTAATTTGGTTTTAGTGGAAACTATGCAAAGATTTATGGTCATCAATTATGAAAATCAAATAAAAAGTAGACGGACAAGTGATATCCAACAAATACAAGCTCATTTAAACAGTTCAAATGTATGCATATTAAATTAGTTTCCTTGTGCATAAATCAAGCCATAAGTGACCTATCCGTTAGCAGTGAAAAATAAACAAATAAATTACCAAGCCAAAATCTTGCTATAAATTATTCTAACAAGCTTGATCACATGCAAAGACACGTTTCATGTAAGGGAATAGAATTTCATTCACAGTTCAAACAAAGAAGCAACAGGCTTTGGTTCATTTTTCCCTCCAAAATAAATTCCACTTTAAATATTACTTCTTGCAAAATATTTTCCGTGAAAAACCAAAAGAAAATTTCAAAACAAATGAATCATTGAAATCAAACAAAGATGTGAGTCTTAATTTGACGTAAAACTCCTTTTTCTTTTTTAAATAACTGAGCAAATGATTAGAAAGTTTTAACAAAATGTAGATCTGAGGAAATTTTCTCACCAGTAACATCCTTCTGATGCCCTCGAAAAGATTCAAGTTCTTTCATGGATCTAATGTCATAAAGCTGAAACAATAATACAGAATATTAATGCACGAAATTAAACACCACGTATAAAATTAATTCTGCTGACAAAGAACAAAAAGCATCATCTCACCTTCCTATTTAATGAAGACAGTAACTGGACATTCACAACAAATTCTTATTTAAAAATCGAGATATCAAACCGACATTCCATCATAAGCACTAAATCTCCAAAAAATAAACTGAGACACACAGCTTTCATAAAAACTGAAATCTGACCAAAGATGTGCCGTGTTATGATGGTTTTGGGGGGAATTGGCTTCAATGTAAAAGGAGATTTGATTCAATCTCTATGGGTTTAATTGAATCCAAATTTATGGAGAGATTTGTGGATAATTTTGTGAGAAATTTTGGTGAAGACTTTATGAGAAGGCAAGTGGTGTGGGTTGCTTGCTGAGGAGGTAGAGTAGATGGACTGGCTAAAAGGGTGGAGTTTAATGATGGTATCCAAGTAAAGCCGAAGTTCTCAAAATAGAGAGCATAAGTGGAATGTTTCCGATTAGATACCAACTGATGCAAACGTGGAATCAAAGAATTTAAATTCATCTCATCGAAACTCTACAAGTCCATTTTGTTGATCTACTTCATTTTAAATTGAGTTTATTTGGATGCCAATAGGCATGACTGCAAAAGCAAGCATGCATAACGAATAAATGACTAATTCTAAGAGTGTGCATATGCGCACGAGTGAGAGAGAAAGAGAGAGAGATCTTATTCTTATGTTAATTTCTACTACACATCCCATATCTAATGAATTAGATATGGTAATAATAGACAAAAGGGTATGAACATATTATGAAAATCACTATTATATTTCCACCCAAGAAATTTGTAGTAGAGGATATCAATCTTACCCTCAAGGGCACTCAAAATTTGCTAACTTGTCATTTCTTATTCAAATGTGGACTGCATTCAAATAATCTTGCTTAACATTCTTAAAGTGTTTGCTATAATTCCTATTGACCTGCTCATTTATACAGATATCATGCAATTGTAATGATAACTATGATTTTGTAGTTACACTTGTACTAATTTGAAGGAGTAGCACATCCAACTTTTACACAAGATCAAAACTAAAAGGAGAAATTTTATCGAATCAACATATTTAATTAAATTCAAAAAAAATTTACTTACAATCATTAATTCTCTAGTCAGTTGGACGACAACATAACATAAGGAACAAATCTCAGATCATCCAAATATCTATGCAAAAATGGCTATAATTCAGATTCCCACAGATATAATAGCTAAACAAAGCACTAAACAAAACCGAATCAATATAAGTAATACAGTCCTGGAAAACCTGTTGCCGCCGTACAAATGCCATATAATACAAAAGCCAGCAACCCTCCAAACATCACAAATGACAGCAGCTTTAATACTCATCCTTGATGTCATAAAGTAGCTACAAAACCCGAGCCACCCAAGCCATCTGATACCGCTCGAGGGCTCCTAGAAAATATTTAGTACGCAGGTTTGGCGGGAAGGTGGTTGTCGAATAGCAAGGAAGTGGAAATAAAAAGTATTGACGGCATTCGGAAGGGGATCCGTGTGTATGAGCTGTTCCTGGCTAAAAACAACGAAAAGAACAATGAAATTACGAGATATGAGCGGCGAAGAGATTCACCACATGTTCCTGAGCAAGATACAGATACACCCTTGCAAAAGAAGAGAATATAGCACACTTTAGAGTGGAAAACATGGAATACAATCTCCAAAATACTCGAAAACAAAGACAAGTTCTCAAAATAGCCAAACACAACATATAAATATGCTTCTAAAAAAAATAACCTTAATTGGAAATAAAAAATTATGAAATAAGAGAAAAGAAAAAAAAAATCCCGTTGAATTTGATAATCGGATTGAAAATTGCATGATCAGTATCTCACAGTTAAGGTACATTGATTCTGTGAAAGTTGGAATCTTGCATCACGGGATCGCGATTCTACAGAAACTCCAGCTCCCACGTCACGGGAAAATGCCCTCGACCGAGTTATTCTCCCTGGATAGAAGTTTTGTCTTCTTCATAAAAAACTTTTGAAATTGATCTACATCGTCATAAAAAAATGTCACTATCTCATTGTTTCTGAGAAAAAAATTCACCGTTTATGCACATGTTCATTCTAGGCAACTCTAAAAAACCCATGTGTCATTCTAATGTCTGCCTTGATAAAATAAGTAATAGTATTTTCTATCACAAATCGAGTTGAATTACACATAAACGGGTATTCTCATAAATCAAGCCCCAATCCATTAAATATGTAACATGATTCTCCCCGTCCCCATACTTGGCTGAGCATATCTGATAAACATGTCTGTTGAAAGAACCGAACAAAGAATGAAATCTATGCCATGTTGGATCACTCGCAGTGGCTGCCACCTAAAAGATAAATCTTCAGTCAGGACATCCGGCAAATCCCTCAATAGGTGCTTCCCTTTTTCTAGTATTGACTCTTCGGAATCACTACCTTCTAGGTCAATCAATGTTAGTCTTGTTGGAGCCTCTCTAATGGGCTCAATTTGAATCATAAGCATCTCACCCTCATTAGTTGTAAGCTGAAACTCTTTTGTGCTATCACCTTCTCTTGTACCTCCCATCACTATCTAAATTTGCTATTGCCCCCTGGGTCAGTAAATGAGATCATTCTCATGTTTGGGTGATCCGACTCAATATGCTCAAAACTGTGACACTTGAAGTATTTCTTGATTCAGACGGATTTAAAAGTGTTGGTGGTCTCCACCTTTACTCCACTTCAGAATGATTTCTCCTCGGGCGGGGGGCAGTTTTGATGCACCACTAAGTGTTTTCTTGTTAGTTAAACTCTGCATGTAAGGAGTGGCGGTCATCTGATGATATTATTATTTCTCCACCTTCAAATTTAGAGTCTCTATGTCAAGTAGGGATCAATACGAATGCAATTGTTCCACATTACTGATAGATAGACCTCAACCCTCCAAGATACCTCACTACTGTGTGCTCCTCCGGTTCCACCAACTCATATTTTAGCCTGAGTGAGCCATTGAGTTGTGTACTCCACAGAAAAATATCTTTGACACGAGTGGCAGAGTTCTATGAACATATCCTACTGATGATGTGGAGGATGGTAATTGTGTTGCATCTACCTTTCCGTTTTTAGACCAGACGGTGATCTTATTCTTCCCTTCTCGCCATTGAATACCGTTCAAGTTCTCCCAACACAAAGATGTGTTTTCTTGAGCTTGATAGCTACAATTTATTATTATCCTTGGGAACGTCTTTGTACTCCAAAATTTGTTTCATTGTTTATAATCTCTCAATAAACTCATCTGGATACATGCTACTATCAAAATTTAATATATTCACCTTTACAACAAAATCCTAACTTCTCCTCTAATATTTCACCCCTCGATCTGACGAGTCACCATTGTAGTTATAGATGACATCACAAGATTGACTCCACTCAAAAGTGGCAAGCCTCTACTTTAGTTAGAGAATTTTCAGTTGCATACCTTCTAAAATAAATTACTGGGCACCTCATTATGGGTATCTCCTAGGTGACATGTTGTATTTCACGATTAGATTTTCGGCAAATGTAAGATTGCAAATCAAGATTGGTCAGAGGCTTAGATTTTTTATGATAGATGTTGGAGTTGCTTATTAGTGGAGATAGAAAAGTTAAATATTGATAATTTACGGTTAGGCGAGAAATTGTGGCAGAAATTGATAGAGAATGGTAGGGATTTCTTTTTGAGAGCTTTGAATTGGGATAAAAAAAACAAACCCTAAAAATTTAGAGTTTGATGGGCTTTGAAACCATATGATATTATTCTAGAGCTCCAAAAGGTATTTAGAAATGGCATTCAGACGGGGATCGTCGTTGATCGACTGCTGACATGGGTGAAAACAACAAGAACAACGAAGCAAGAGAAAGGCGACGAAGAAGTTCACCATCTGTTCCTGAGCAAGACACAAATACACCACTTGCAAAAAGAAAAGGATACAACACCCCTTAGAGTAGAAAACAAAAAATACAATCTCCAAAATACTCAATAACAAAACTAAGGTCTCAAAATAACAAAATAAAACATATAAATATGCTCCTAATATAAAATAATCTTACTGGAAATAAAGAAAAAAAAATAGAAAAGGAATAAAAAGCTAGAAAAGGAATAAAAACTCTATTGAAATTGATAACTAGATTGAAAATTGCTCGTTTGGCCCACAGTCATGGCATCGATCACGTGACAAACGGAATCTTGCATAGCGGAATCAAGTCCATGACCTATGGAACCGCACAAACACGGTATCGAGATTCCACAGAAAACTTTTGTACTCGTGAATTGGAAAATTCCCGCTCCCGCGTCACAACCCTTAAGCCAATCAAAAGCCAAATACAAACCAAATTATAGAAAACTTTTTTCATGAATATAATCATGTAATTCATGCAAATTATGCAAATGATATAACAAATAATAAATGCTAAAATTCTAATGCGCTTCCAAAAAAACTGGCTTATAAATAAATCCAATAAAGTGAATTGCAAATGCAATTGCGAGCAAGCAAATCACACAATCATAATTAGCCAATATAGATGGAAAAACTTAAAAAAGCTAACCGAATTACATAAAAAATACTTGTGGTTAATTATGCAGTTTTAGGATGTACCCATTATAGATAAAAAAATTTTAAGAAACTAGCCAAATTATATAAAAAATAATTGTGGTTAATTATGCAATTTTAGGATGGAACAAAAGGACGCAGTTTCATAGTTCAAGTTTCTCTGAAATAAACAAATTCCATCAATATTGAATTCATGTAGCTCTCGTCATAAAGTTTGCTCAACGAATTTACATGTCACTGAACTGAAAAACAAGAAAATATCTAATAATGTATAAAATAAATAATATCAACCTGCACTGCATCAAGGGCTGTATTTTTAAATTACCCATGTAATTTGTCAACTATAGTCATTGATTGGTTCGATTTAACAATCTGTAATTAT